CAGCTTCTCTGTGCAGAAACCTTCTGGGCCCCAGAGCAGCGTCCCTGCCCCATGCCCAGCTCTCGCTAAAAACCACTGGTCCCACAACAACAGCGCCTGGCCGTTTCCTGTTTCGGAAATGACTCAGACTCACGCTTCAGAGCACTGTGGCTGTTGAGCAAACGGCCAGACGTGTTGATGTGAGAGACACCACGGGATAGCTCGGGGCCGGTACGCACACTTTAGTCAAGGTGAATAATTTAGCAGAACTGTGAAAAATTTATGAACAGCGTCACATGGTCGTTTAAATACAGAACCACTCTCCTAGTGATTTGACTACCTTTGTGACAAACATTAGCAATTTAAAAATGCTGAAAATAACATCCATTGGTCTTCTAATTGCATATCGTGGAGTAGAGCACCGGCCTGGGCTTTTCCTGTAAGATATGAAGGATTTTTATTGGTTAAACCTTTAGAGGTATTGTCTTCTAGGGCTGAACGAAATTGCGATTTGAAACAACGCGATTAGTAAATAGCAAAAGCTGCGATTTAGGGTACATACATTATACAGCACGTCTGTCCCAGGGTTTAAAACTGCCGTGAGAATGGTTTTAAAATCCATTCCATCCTCTTTGTGTGGAAGTAATTCTCACCAATCAGAAGTGCTGTGTTCCTCACATGCCAATCAGGCTCACCGAACAAAAGTGGGCCAAAGTGACTGCGTATACGTCCACAAAGGGCAAACATGAAACTCAAGGAAAATGTTACATGTGCGGCACGTAAAACTTAATCCTTCTACTGCTGATATAAGTGAACTACCTACCTATTTTACGCTCAGAGATTGTTTAGAGAAAGGCCCTATTATGGGTCCAAGCAGTGTTCCTATAGTTATACTAGAATTGTTTTATTTTTATAAGTTTGTTTAACTTAACACTGCTTTTGTGATAATTGTTTTATGTTCAGGGATGCACATAACTGTCACGCATGTATGCATTCAGCTTTAAAAGCATTACGTGCCGCAATTGATTGTAGTAAGCATAAACACGTACTTATGTGCATTTGCGCCGATATGACAAACTATTCTGTATTTTAAGCTTTTATATGCTAATTAGTGCTTCATCTGCAGAATAAAGGTCAAATATTACATCGGTTTGAAGTTTTAAACGCTCTACATCTGTTTGAGAGAGCTTGGTGTTTGACGGGTTTGATCTGATATGTCGTGGTCATGATTAACATGATGCCTGCACCTTGCCACTGACTCATTTTCTTTGTGTTCTATTTCTGTGAATGTGAGCCAAGTGTGTGGCATAAACAGAACACAGTCTCTGTTAATTAGTGTACACAGACATCGCTTAGAAGATGGTCTGTTCTTCGTACGCTTCCTTTGTAAAGTTCACCTCCAGACTTGTGGTCTGGGTCTACGCTCTTATTTTATTATTTATTTTCAGTTTGACCTTCGTCTGCCTTCTCCAAAACCATAACCTTTATTCATAGCCTGGTTCTGTTAAGGGTTCTTAAATGAGACTCTTCTACATCTTGAGGTGTGTGTGTGTGTGTGTGTGTGTGTGTGTGTGTGTGTGTGTGT